AAGAGGATGAGGTCACTGCAGGAAGACCAGATCCAGGGCTGGCGGGCCCCTGAAGCCGGTGGCCAGGAGCTTGCCCCGAGGGGACATCTGGGGACAGCAATGTGGGTCTAGACGGGCCAGATGGATGAGCCCTGGAGCCATATGTCTCCTTGTTGCCTCAAGAAGCGGGGAGACTGCCTGCCATCCAGAGCCCAGCACTGCTATTTCTGCCTGCGCTTTCCCCTCCCCCACCCCGTGCGTGGCTGCATCCTGGTCCCCCAGCGCTCTGGGCCGGCATCTGCCTCACCTGTCTCTGAAGCCTCTTCTACATCCCCTCTGACAGCTCCCTCCGCTCAGGGGCCACGCACACCTGATGCTCTTTGGGTCCCCAGTCCTCAATGTGGTAACTGGCATGCAGAGTTACCTACATCTTTTTGGATGAACGAGGCTTCCAGGTCACGTGGAATCCAGAGTCCGGGCTGTACAGTCTGGACGGACGAGATCCAGGTGCCCCAGGCGTTAGTGGCGAGGTTGGACTTCAACACTGAGCCACGTTGCTGTGAATCTGGAGCTCCCCGCACGTGGCCTTCCTGCGGGCCAGACGCGTGGACAGACTGGGCCGCACAGGCTGGGGCCCGCAGGTCGCCGTGAGGGGGTGGGACAAGAAGGAAAAAGGCTGCAGTGCCCTCTCTGGGTCTCCTTGCTTGGCTTTTCCAGAGTCCTGGGGGGGCACCAGGCCGGGACCTGATTTTTGACGCTCCCACCCTTGGGTTGGTAACTGATATTCACGTCCCTCCTCTTCTCACTCCTGGAGGCCCGCCTCCTGATTCCCTGTGCATTTTCTAAAATGACAGTTTGCAATCTGACAAACAGATCCAGGATAACGTGCGAATGGCAGAAAGCTGAGGGAGGCCCCCTAGATCCCACCAGGTAATAGCTGGCTTGTGGGGAGACAGGGCTGTTGACTCTGAGGTTGGTGACACAACATGAGCAGGAGAGGCCCGCAGTGCGATGGTTTCTGACCTAGAGGGGCGACTCAGAGCCAGGAGCAGACCTGCGGCATCAGGGTCCCCCGGCGAGCCAGATAATTACAGATCGCCACGTCCTACCCAGAAATTCCGATTCTGCGGACCCAGGGAGTGCCCCCCGAGTACCTATATTTTCAAATAAGTTTTTAAAGTGATTTGATATGCAACTAGGCTTGGGAACCACTATGGACATTTGCGGTCAATAGAAACAGAATTTCTGTTACTCTACATCAGTGCTGGGGAGAGGCTGAGATTCAGGGGCAGATGGGGTCTCGGGGTACCTCCCGGTAACTCGCATCAGCACCAACAAGACCGTTCACGCGAAGCTCCTCTAAGCATCGCCCTCCGTGCTTCCCTGCCCTTCGGGGACGGGCACCTCATAACTTGTCCTCATCCCCCTGGTGTAGTTAGTTAAGGGGAATTTCAGGAGTGCTGTGTGGCTCTTAGAACAGAAGAAACACGGGTTTTTCTGTAAGAGCACAGGAAACTGTATCAATATCTTGTAGTAACCTATGATGAAAAGAACATGAAAACGAATATATGTATGTATATGTATGACTGAAACATTATGCTGCACACCAGAAACTGGCACATTGTCAACTGACTATGCCTCACTTAAAAAAATAAAAGAACAGAAGAAACAGCATTTTAGGGTCAAAACAAACAAATACTGTCTTTTTGGCCTTGCTTACTTGGTGAACAAAATTGCCTCTGTGGCTCTGAATTGCTTCAAGTTTCAGGAATTCGGTTTTCTTTTTTTTTAAATTCATTTTTAGCAGACAGAAAGAAAATCTTGGAGTAATTCCTTTATATGAAAGGATTTTTTTTGAAATCTCCTAATGAACTGGGTCAGTTCTCCCCACCTTCCGTGAATATATTTAAAATCATTTCCTTCCTGACGACTTGAGGTTCTCCCTGGTGCCTCCTCCACCTCTCCTCCGTTTATTAGGGCTTGAAACCGTCTGAGCTGTCGAGAAATCAGCTTTCCACGAGGGTCTGGTTTCCTTGCCATCGTTTCCTGCCCGACTCTTTCAGAAAGGAAATACGCTTATCACCTGCCTTGCAGGACGAGCGGAGAAACACCCGGACAGGTTGTCCTGCCTGCCGGGGCCCCCGTCCTAGAATGAGCTGTCTGACAGAATACGCTGATCTACAATTAAAATGAGAACCCGAGAGGATCCCTGCTGGACGAGCCAGATACGGTGAATTAATTCACCACAGGTCCTGCTTCCAACACCGATCGGATTCTCAGCAGTCAGTTCATTTCACCATCCTGACATCAGCTGTACTCAGTGTTGGATCCGTTTCATCCAGACAGGTTCCGAAGGATTACACACCGTTCATTGATTATGTCTCCCCAGCAGAATTTCTGCCCAAAGTGGCAATGGGGTACAGTTTGCAGCTAGTTTGTGGAGTTCCGTTTCCTCCTCTCGGAGCCGGTACTGATCCCCGTCGCACGGGAGAATTCTGAGCATCGTTGAGCTGGGGTTATCCTCGAAAGCCAAGGCTGCAAGATTTTGCCAGAACTCGAGGAGGGAGTTCTCACCGCTGGGATTCAAAGTCCTCATTAACTGTTCTGACTTCATCGGTGGGAGGGTTATTTTAATTCTTCCCTAGAAATGAATGAAAAAGTTCAACTTCCTCTTTCTATTTTTGTTTGTTATTTCTATCTGGTACACGCGATTAGGACGTCCTGGGGAAAGCTAGACCAGATGTTTGCTGCAGCCAGATGTTCATACAGACCACATTTCTTCTTGTCCTCGGTAATTGTCAGCTGAGAAGCCGTGCCCTTGGTCACGGCCATGCTTTCTCTTTTGCTTGTGACTTTGGGCCAAACACTTAAACTACCTCCTAGAAGCTTTAAGTTACCTGCCAGCTGGTAGATAATAGGACAGCCTCCAGATTCATGATGCCATTTCTTAAATATTAGATGTGCCCTCTGGCGACACAGGAGCGTCGTCTGTCTCCTGTCCCCTCATAGCTTCCTGTCTCCTCATCCCTAGCTCCAAACCTCTTCTGGGGCGGGGGCTGCTGCTGCTGCTGCCTCTCCTGGGCCTCAAGCTTGGGGGGTGGGTAAGTCGTCAGTGCCAAACAGCAGGAGGAGGAGGATTTTTGCACGTGTACCACGTGCCAAGCCAGGCGCTCAGTGCTTCGGATGCATCATCTCACTTTGAACCTCAAAACAATGATGCAAAGTGGCCATCACTAATGCCTCTGTCTGCGGCACCTCTGTTTCCAGCTTCCTCTGGCCCCTCCCTTGTTTCCTCTTTCCTTCCCTCCCTCCCTCCCTGTGTCCCTTCCTCCTTCCTTCCATTGAAGGGAATTCCTAAGGCCAGCAGCACTGCCTGGGGGTCTCAGCTGTTCAAACTCCTGCAATAACCTGAAACCAGAGGCCACAGCAGCCCCAGCCTTGGGGCTCTGGATTTCACTTCCCAGCCAAAAGGAAAAAGAGCAGGAGTGATGGGGGAGCCTGTCTAGAAAAGGCCCCTCTGCCCACTCACCCTCATAGGTTTCGGCACCTAAGCCCCGTTCACGTCCCTCCCACGTGCGTTACTCTCTGTCTTCTCGCTTGGCAAGAATGTTTTGCCATCAGTGAAGGGGCTGATTCTGAGGGAGCAGGAGTCCCTGCCTCCTTGCTTCAGATGCCACCCCTGCCCCTCCTCCTCGCTCTCAATCTGCAGACGAGACGCGCGCTGTGTTCCTGGACCATGTTGGCCCCGGTGACAGCAGCCCCGTCCGCTTTCCTGTGATGATGGAAGTGGAGGGATGTTGGGGGGGACTTGTCCCCAGATACTCCCGCCTGGTACTGATGTGCCCACAGCAGACTTGGAGTTTTGTTTCCTGCCACGTTTTTACTTCTCTGGGCTGGATGTTGGCCTTTTGAAAAGATGACTCTCATTCAAAAACCACAAGATGGCTTTCAATATGTCTGTAACTCAGAATAATAAAGCCGAGGGTGGGAAAACCCCAATCTGGACTCATAGGTGGCGTGTCTCATGGAGGGGGGACATGGTTTATTTTGAATGCATCGTGGATGTCCATGGTCTGAGCACCCAGAATCACATGTGTATGTGTGTTGGACAACAATTTTAGGCCGTAAGTACTTTCCATAAGGGCCGTGTTGTTTTAGGTCATGACACACTCTTTGGCTGGGTCCCTGGAAGAGGACCTGCCCCAATCTCTTCCAGCTGCATCAGCCCAGCCTGGCATCCATGAAGCCCGCAGCAACCACGGTGCTTTTGTGTGTGTGTGTCTGAGGAAGGATGGCGCTGCCTGTCATTTCGTTCTCACTATGGAGATTCTGTTCTGGTACATTCTGCTAGCGTTCTGTTCTCCTCACTTCCCTCTTCCCTACAGTGACCCTCAAGAGACAACATTGTAGAATGTCTCAAGTGGGTTCTGGGCATTAAATCTAGCCAGAAATACAAATGATGTCACACGTGGGAATTTCATGTCTCATACTTCCCTGATGTGGATTTCCTTTATGAGATCCAGTTAAAAAAAAGAAAGTCTCTCTGGCTTTGGAATGGCTCTGAGGGCTCAAAGTTTTGCTTTCTCTCGGCAGAGTATAATATATTACATGGTGACGTCCCCTAAACTGCTCTCCTGGATCAAAAATGAATCACTTCTGAAGTCCCTGCAGCCCTTCGCCAAGTGGCATTACATTGAGCGTGACCTTGCAATGTTCAACATGAACATTGATGATGACTACGTTCCGTGTCTCCAGGGGATAACGCGGGCCAGCTACTGCAACGTTTACCTGGAGTGGATTCAGTACTGTGCACGGAAAAGGCAAGAGGTGGGTAAGGGAGGCGGGGCTGGAGGAGCCGAATGTAAATTGGAGACAAGGAACATCATACAGACCGTCTGTTTTTGTACTCTGCTTCAAAGCTAAAGACATACGCAGACTGAAAGTGAGGGGATGGAGAAAGAGATCACATGCCAGTGGAAATCAAAAGAAAACTGAGGTAGCAAAACTCATATCAGACAACATACTGTCATAAAATAGAGGAGAGAAAGGACGTTGGTATTGGGATAAATGTTTATTTAACAATTAAACAAAATGAAATGGAAGAATTCATATACCATGTCACTAGTGATGAAGCCTTGAAGGTACAATTTCCTGTTTACCGTGCTCAGGGTCAGTGCATTTTTTTTAACACTTAATGAAATATGGTTATTATTTAATTAACCTATATTTGATGCATTGTATTTGGCAAGAAGAGAAAAAATGAGAAAAGCACACATTCCTCTCTCTGGGAGCTAGTTGGCTAGTAGGAAAAATATACATGTGAACAAAAATTAAATAAAATATCAACGTTGATTCTTTAATGAAAGTGTCTATAAGATACAAATGATGGGTGATGTTTTAAGCATACCTCGACTGTGGTTATAAATCAACATAAATGACAGGAAAACGCCTCAAGAACATTGTCTAGGTCTGCTATCTTCAATTCCTCTCCTTCTATCTTCTCTTTCTCTCTTTCTCTCTTTTTTTTTTTTTCCATTAGGGTCAGTGCAGTTTTAAGCCTCGAT